GAAAGGATCATTGTTGGATGCATTTTGGACAAAACTTTCAACACGGATGTAGGACAGTGGTTCTCAACCTGTGGGTCCCCAGGTGTTTTGGCCTACAACTCCCAGAAATCCCAGTCAGTTTACCAGCTGTTGGATTTCTGGGAGTTGAAGGCCAAAACATCTGGGGACCTACAGGCTGAGAACCACTGCTCTAGAAGATTCAAAATTGTTTTTGTTTATTTAACCAAAGCTTCTCTGACTTGGTTACTCCATTTCACATGTGAATTTCATTTGTTTTGGATGAAAAGGATGCTTCAACATGTTGACATGTTCTTCTTCTTATGATATGAAAATCTTATGAAAATTAAATGGACATAATTTTATTCTAATCTAATGTTATTTATGTAGTTACTGTATTTTATGTTGTATGTGAGGCATCGAATTGTTGCCGTCTGTAAGCTGCTCTGAGTCCCCCTGCGGGGGTTTGAGAAGGATGGGGTACAAATGTTTGAAATAAATAAATAAATAACATCAACATATCCCTATTTTTTCTGTAAGTGCATCTACACTGTAGAATTAATTCAGTTTGGTCCTGCTTTAACTCTCATGGCTCACCACTATTCTGGCCGTTGTAGTTTGGGGGGACACCAGCACTTTTTGGCAGAGAAGACGAAATGCCTTGTAAAAATACAGTGGCTCTGATAGCACTGAGACTTGGCAGTTAAAGCGGTGTCAAGTCGAATTTGTTCTACACTGCAAATGCACCCTATGTCGTTTCTTTCTCTGGTACCATTTGTTCTTTTGAAGAAGTAATAGCCAGGAATGCATCTGCTTTGTTAACAAAGGTAAAGTTCTTCTAGTACAGAAAAGCTTAAACTCAGATCGACGAATCACTTCAGAAAAGACATAAATTTATTCTGATGAATAAATCCGGTGACTAAAGTTATGTCTTTTCTGAAGTCTGGTGAATAAAGTTAAGGAATGACAACGCTTAGAGAGCATAGCTATTCTTTAAAAAAGAGAAACTCTTCAATTTTAAAAAGGAATAAAAGCAACCTAACAATTGTGAATTCATGATGACAATGAAAAGAGATAGGTTACTTTCACATGTAGTGTTGTTGAAAAGAAAAGAAAATACGGTCACCTTGAATGGAGATTTTGATTAGTAAAGATATAACCTTAACTTGCTAATGACCTGCTCTAAGCATCCTTCTGAAAGATTCAAAAAAGGAGGCTCAAGTACTTTTATGGAAAACTTTCATTATATATAAATCCATTCAGCCTAACCATTTATAGAATTTTTTTGGTACATTCAAATGTCATATTCTATTTACAACCCTTCTATGCTTTCCCACTATTCCTTCCATATTCCTTTCTTTCACAGAAAATTTGTTATGATTTAAGAACTTGCCACCTTATGTGTGAAAATTAAACAGCAGATGTTCTAGCCTCAGAACTTCTAACAAGCTTCTCCAAAACAGACTGCAAGAACAACTATGTTTGGGCTGCTTCTGATGCAGAAAATGAATTGTGAGGCTCTGGTACTTATTGCTACCGTTCTTGTGGGGTTTTGAAATATTCAAACAAGGATTTTGTAGTTCTGGACTATTGTGTAACTATTTACTTACTGGACAATACCAGAAGAGCCCGGACCATCTGACAGCCCATTGGAAATATAGCACTGTACAGATAAAATCACCCAGATCTGCTCCAATTGGGATGCTATCACTACAGATGTGGTGGTGTAGCTTTGGTCCCTTGTTTAATCACTGATAATGGACACTTTTCAATGTGTACAGCCAGAGATGTAGGAAAGATTTTTGGAAAGGTATATCAGACTATGGATAAGAACATTTTTGATCACCTTGGTGGACGACCAGTGTGGAGAAATACACAAGAATGAGTGCCTATTGGTTTTGCTGGCTCTTTTGGCAGCTTTCAGTACTATACCCCATGGTCTTCCATTGAACTGATTTTTTTTGAGATGGGACAGAGGCAGTCATAGGATGCTGGTGGAAAACATTGTGGCTTCTGGCCTGGGGGTCCCTCGGTTTTGGTCCTTGTACTACTAGATGAATTAGTCCAAGATTTGGGGGTTTGATGCTTTCATTACAGTTACTCTTTCCTACCTAGATCCAATGAAGCTGCTTTAGTTCTGAACTGATGGCTGTCTTTAGTAATGACTGGATGAGTATGAAAACACTTAAATTTAATCTTGGAAACATATAAGGCAGATGAGTCAGATCAAGTGGATTCGGTTGTGATTTGGAATCCGCTACTTCTTCCCTTGTTTCTTCCATGGAGTCTCCTTGAAAATACAAGTACACAGCTTGGGTGTACTCCTGGACTCAATCCTGAATCTGGAAACTCAAGACTTCACTGGTGGCTAAGGGTGCACTTTTAAGGCACTTGTGCACCAGTTGCACTGACTCCTTAAATGACATTGATACAGATTTAATTATCATACATTTGGATTATAACATGCTCTACGTGGGCAGTTACTTGGTCTAAAGAGATGTAACAATGCCTCTTGAAGGTCTCTGATTGTATTTGCTTCTTTCAGACCAGGTAAATTGATACATCCTTGAATGCTACTTAACTCCCTCCCATGACAATCTGCTAATATAAAACTAATTCATATTTCTTTGTTTCTGAAATGCATTTGGTCTTATCTGCAAGAAAGCACCAATTGAATGAGCACTTGGAAATGTATGTGTAGTATTTCCTATGGATTTTATTGGACACTTCTGGTATTTCTTTTATGACCAATGAAGTTCAGGTCCAGGTTAGGTGAAAAACTAACTTCTCTCTGACAATACTTCCTATTTCTTCAGTTTTTCTGGAAATTTATTTATTTATTTACTATATTTATATATTGCCCCTCTCAGCCCAGAGGCGATTCGGAGAGGTTCCATCATCCCCACAAAGACACGTAGTGACAACATGGGGAAGGGCCTTATTAGTAGCTGCTCCCAAGCTCTGGAACTTCCTTACAAGAAGATTTAGACTGGCACCCTTCTTGCTATCTTTACACAAATGTTGAGGGTTTGCTTTTAAGCAAACCATTAAAGCCTTAAAAGGTTCTGTTTTAGTGTTCTGTATTGTCTATTCGTTGTTTTCTTTTTAATAGTTATATCTAACTGGTTTTAATTTAATGCATAGTCTAGTTACATTTTAAGCTTTTGCATAGGGTGGGTTTTTGGTGATATCAACATATTGACAAAATAAAGCTTATGACAAAGAAACTCTTTTTATTAAATATTTTTATGAGAGTCCTTCTTGGTTGAGTGTTTTTTTCTTCTTCTTTGCAGCATCAGAATTGGGGCCATTGTAACTGACAGCTGGAAAAAGACAAACTTTCAGTATGGGGGGTGGCAATTATGTGTGCGCAGGGGGAAAAAAAACTTGATTTGGTAAAAATAAGATTCTGTTCTTCATAATCCTGCTGCAGCTGTGTATGTGCAACTGGTAAAGTAAATAGCTGCATACAAAAAATTACTGAGCATGTGTGCAGAGTAAAAAGAAACGGAAAGAAACGGAAAAAGTAGGTTAACCTGCCTTATCAGTGACCTTGGCATGTTGAAAAAGCATAGATTTATCAGTTTTATCAAAATGTTTTTGCTTAGTTCTGCAAGGCACATGCTGCTACTGCTTTACCGCCAGTAGGGTTTACTAATTGGTGTCTTGCCAGTTTCCCCTTGTCAAAATCTTTTTGTAGATTTTAAAAAATATTCCACACTGTACCCTGCAAAAGCTTGAAAGCAGTCCTCAAATGTACGATTTCAGCAGTGAGTGCCTATTAGTGTTGGGTAAATGAAATACCTACATTTACATTTTAATACCTACCTACCTACCTACCTACCTACCTAATAATGATGATTCTGTTTTGAAAAAAGAGTTTCAAATTGTTGGACATTCAGCTTAGTATCTGTTTCTCTTTGTTGGGAATAGAAGGATAGGATTTTGCTCTTTTCTGCCTCGGGTTGCATTACAACTTGCCTATATAGGTGTGGGGCATTTTTGGTGCTCCATTCTGTCGCAGGCAGCAACTGTTTTGTGTTGGCTCTAACAGAATGCCATCTTGAAAGGGAAGCACTTAATCCTAAGCATCATTTTAAAAATTACAATATTTCATCAATACCAAACAGTTTCCAGTTTACTACTCTGATGGCAGACATGAGATTAAAATAAGCGACTCGTGTTTAGTTTATGACTGAATGGGATTTCTTATTTTGATTTTTATGGCATTTTAAATAAAATCATTCTATTGTCATCAAGTTTTATACGGTGGAAAGAAGATATGATCATTCTGAGGGATGGATTATATTTTGTGTTCTGAGATTGCATTCTTTGGGGGCAATTTTATGTTCAGACCATCTCTCTAGGAACTTTGCTAATTTTTCAATGAAAAAAATATAAATTTTGCATGTAAAAATAGGGAAATTCACAAACACAAAACAATTTTTGCGGATGATTTGTCAGTTCAGCCTCATCAGCATTTCAGAAATTTAGCTTGAAGAATAAGAAGGTGGGTTAGTTATCTACTTTTTTAAAAATCCTGAAAACATAGGAGTAAGATGCATGCCAAATTCTGTTCAGGTCACAGAATAGTAATATTCCAACTATGTCTACCACATAAGAAAAATGAAGTACTTTGTCTATCCCAAATACATCAAAATCCTTATGTCCACTTCCAGGATGATGTAGAAGCACATGGATTTTCAATACCCTCTTTTAGTTTGCAACTAGCTCTTTACAGCAGCATATCAAAGAGCTAGCAAATACTAAGCTGAAAGAAAAAGAAGCCAAGAGGTCACAAATCTCTTTGTACTAAATGTAACTCAATCAGACAATAGGAAAAGGGAGCAGCTGCTGCATGGTGGGATAGTAACATAAAGCTGTAAAGACATATCCAGGAATTGAAGAATAATAGTTACTTATTATGAGGAATTGGAGGTAAAAGCCTGCACCCAGGAAGCTGAAGCATCATCTTTCTCTATTAAAGTTCAAACCCAACTTACACGAAATGGTCCTCATCAAACATCTGCCGTCTTTGCCATTCTTGTTGCCTTTGTTTTTCTTCAAGTTTATTGGCCTAGAATATGAGAACATCAGAACATTGTAATTAATTATTGATCCAATACTAGAAATAAAGACCACCTGCTAGAAGCAAAACACACACATCCAATAGTCATCACTTAAAATTGATACTACAGAAGCATATGCGTCACACAAGGTATACTACAGAAGCATATGTATCACGCAGTGAGTCCAACCTACTTGAGATTCTTATTGAAAAAATCTATATCTTCCACTTCATTCAAGGGGTTCAGTGTGGTGCACATGGCTTATTCTCCATTCAATTTTATCCTCAACACAACCTTATAATTAAGGTAATTTTGATGAGCTCCACAAACTCCATAGTGAAAACTGTTTTTTCCAAGACCTACTCTAATAACACTCTATTATGCTATACTAGTTCTAATTTGAGAATTATATCAGATTGCAACAAGGTTAGATATTGTTGTTGTTGTTCATTCATTCAGTCGTCTCCGACTCTTCATGACCTCATGGACCAGCCCACGCCAGAGCTCCCTGTCGGCTGTCACCACACCCAGCTCCTTCAAGGTCAGTCCAGTCACTTCAAGGATGCCATCCATCCATCTTGCCCTTGGTCGGCCCCTCTTCCTTTTTCCTTCCACTTTCCCCAGCATAATTGTCTTCTCTAGGCTTTGCTGTCTCCTTATGATGTGGCCAAAGTACTTCAACTTTGTCTCTAGTATCCTTCCCTCCAGTGAGCAGTCGGGCTTTATTTCCTGGAGGATGGACTGGTTGGATCTTCTCGCAATCCAAGGCACTCTCAGAACTTTCCTCCAACAAAGCCGAAAGGTTAGATATAGATGTAAAGATATGATATGTACACAACCCAGCCAGTAGAAATAGTATGAAAGACTGGCTCAAATAAGACAAATCATAGTTTAACATAACATGCATTACCTTAAACCATAGTTTAGCGTAACAAGTTTAACTCTTAAATTTGAATATGTTTTAATGGTTTTTAACTGGGAATTGTAATATTGTTTATATTTAATCTTGTTTTAATGTTCACATACTTGTATGTTTTTAATTGTTATGCTGATGCTTTATGTTAAGCTGCTCTGAGTCCTCTTCAGGGGAGATAAAGTGGGGCATAAATAAGTATAATAATAATAATAATAATAATAATAATAACCACCTGAAGCTTATATCTAAGCCCAAAACCAGAAATGTAGTTAATTTTGCTTTAGGAAACAAGCTAGATCACAAACCATGATACTACAGTTTGAATAAAATGCTAATATCACACAATTTGCTGAAGTTCAAATGTGGCAAATGCAAGTGATTAGATTAAAGCAGGATCAAAAGCTTTTGATGTCTTCCCTACACCATGCAAGTGGAGCCCCCGGTGGCACAATAGTGCCGGCAGGACTGAAGACTGACAGGCCAGAGGTTCGAATCCAGGAAGAGCGCAGATGAGCTCTTTCTGTTAGTTCCAGATCCCCATGCTGGGACATGAAAGAAGCTTCCCACAAGGATGGTAAAACATCAAAATATCTGGGCGTCCCCTGGGCAACGTCCTTGTAGATGGCCAATTCTCTCACACCAGAAGTGATTTGCAGTTTCTTAAGTCACTCCACACACACACACACACACACACACACACACACACACACACAAAGAACAAAAACATGCAAGTGGAGATGGAGGAATAGGCATGTTTATACTTATGCGTAGAATGCCAAATTATCATTTAAAATCACACACGAAAGAATAGTCCTAAATATGGCAGGGTACATTTGAGTGTAAAGAATTATGTTATGTGTAAAAATCATGAAATGCAGACCTTGAGAACTTCACTGAGGAAATATGAGTGTTGCTACATTCTTTTTCAAGAAACAAATTGTTTGCCATTGGCTACGATTCATCTGGTCTGTCTGTTTGACTAGCAGTCTGGGAGACAAGGATTGGCATCCCTCCTGCTTGGCTATGGAAACGTGCTGCGCAGCCTTGGGCCGGTCACACTTTCTCAGGCTCAGAGGAAGGCCATGGCAACCCCTCTCTGAATCAATCTTGTCAAGAAAACTCCATCACAAGAGCTCTACATGTCTAAGTTGACTTGAAGGCACATAACACTGATTCATTATCGCAAGGAGAATTACCCATTAGCAACATGGTATTTGGAGCCACTTTTACAATAGAAAAAAATCCCCCAGATACCCAAAATAATGTCATTGCAACTAACAATTTGAAGTAATAGGTGGTGGTTGTTATTTTTCTTTATATCCCACTTCTTTCCCAGTTTGGGACTCAAGGCAACAGATAAGCGTTATTTGTTACAGCAGTGAACCTGAACACCTACCTCATTCCTGTTAAAAGATTTCAAAGTAATGTATGTTGTCCCTCACCACACACACACAAAGTAGATAACCACTGACAATATGTCTTTCAATGTGTTACTTCCAGGCTCTATAGGTGCCTGCAGGGAGAGAAAACAATCCTGGCCTGATTACGTCTGTCTTACCTTTTCTCTTTGAATTGCTTTCTTTTTCAAAATGTCAGCTTCTTCTGCCTCCCTCCTGATTCGTTCATCTTCCTCTCTCTTCAGCTATTTTGAGAGAGAAAGCTAGGCTTATTACAGAGACTGCATTTACTACAACTTACATCCAGACTAAACATGTCAAGGAAGAAAAGGACAAACTAGGCTTCCAATACACCGGGGTCTCCTCTCAGATTCCATGAATATCAGGCTATGATGGAGAATATGCCTTTGTGTACAGGGACCATCAGGCGAAAGCTAGAGTGCAACCATATTTTGAGAGGCACAATAGATTTAGACTGAATTTTTCTCACTGGCAATAAGGGGACCCTTAGGCAGTCAAGAAATAAACTTGATGAGCTCCAAACCACATCTCAGGTCACCATGAACGGGAGCTACACCTGTTCTCCACTGATCCCATTCCACATATAGGAGCTTTTAAATACAACTTAAAATATATTCTTGCTGGATCCCAGATATGTGTACGCATATAGGATAGACCGTGCCAGCTTCTAGGCAAAGGATGGGCCCAGATATTGTGCAAATAAATAAATAAAGTGCCCAAGGGCCCTGATAATTATATTCAAAATTGCCATTTTCTACAGTAGAAGTCAAGCAAGAAAACTACTTAAAGTAAACATGTGATAGAAATTGTACATGCCGGCATTCACAAATCTATAGCATGCAGAGCAATAATATGAATCATGAAATCTGAGTCATCTGATGAATAATAAATTCCCTACAAAATGATTTAAAAAATCTGAACACATTTCAACTGGCTTTGTTGTTTTCGTTACTGCATTTTCAAGCACACATGTCAAAAGAGGAAACTGGATGACCAGAGTCTCATGATCTTTCTGCAGTTTCAGCATTATCTAGGTTACAGTGTTTCTCTCAGCTTTGCAGAAATTTGAGATCAACCAGGCATAGGGATAAATATATAGAGAACAATATTTAATTTAGAAAAAAATGCCTTTCCTTATCCAAAACTGATGGGATCAGAAGTAGTTTTCATTTTGCATTGTTGATAATTTGGAAGTGTTGTCCAAAAGCAAATTATGACTTCTGGCTGTTCACTGTAATGATCTATATTCAATGTGCTTTGTTTTTAACAAAGAATGGGAGAAGTCAAGTCAGATAACAGAGCTCTTCTTCTTATTCCATGCAATGGCCAAGGAAATGACAAATACATTCTTCCTGACCTTTTGCCGGTATTTGGACTGCATATGTTCAAGTTGCTGCTTTCGCCTCACTTCAGCCTCTGATGTTTTCCCACCTGGAAAGAGCACATATTAAACAAGTCAGGAGAACACTACAAGAATAGTATCCAAAAGGCAGGATGACTATATACTGCATAGTAACTGGTCTACTGACATGCCTCACCTCAAATACTGAGATTTTAATTCCCATCATGTTAAAATGACTGGCCATGTGTGTGTGTACCTGAACAACAAACCAGTGTCTTTGCCAATTAATGGCAAGTTTTGCATGTCAGATACCTAGTTTTGTATTCAAGGCATGTTGAACAAGTACATTGAAAATAACAGAGGCTTAATTTTCATTTTTAAAACAAAAGCACAAATACATTTTAAATACTAGACATCTGCATTTTCTCAACCTAATAGCTGGTCCTGGACAATACTCTACTCCTCTTTCCTAACAGTGTTCTAACCACGTTCTGAACAGAATAGAGGTTTTATTTCAATCCACCATACTTTCCTATTTGAATCACTAAGACTTGCCCAACATACCTCTGTGATACAAGAAAGGACAACAAGTAGTGATTTGTCAAAAATTAAACTGCAAAACATTTGTGGAAAACAGCAACATTCTAAAAAAAAAGTATGTGTTTCTATTAACCTGAGGATAGAGGGAAAACAGTGATTTCAGGAGATCATAGAATCAAAGAGTTGGAAGAGACCTCATGGGCCATTCAGCCCAACCCCCTGCCAAGAAGCAGGAATGTTGCATTCAAATCACCCCTGACAGATGGCCATCCAGCCTCTGTTTAAAAGCTTCCAAAGAAGGAGCCTCCACCACACTCCAGGGCAGAGAGTTCCACTGCTGAATGGCTCTCACAGTCAGGAAGTTCTTCCTCACTGGAACCTACGTACCCATTTGGGCATTAAGGTCCTCTGGGCAGGTCCTTCTCACAGTCCCACCACCCTCACAAGCATGGCTGGTGGGAACGGGAAAAGGGCCTTCTTAGTGGTGGCACTCCAGCTCTGGAACACACTTCCCAAAGAAATCAGATAGGCTCCCTCTCTAGATACCTTCAGGAAGGAATTGAAAACATGGGATGTGGAAACAGGCATTCGGAAAGGATTAACTATAATTTATTATGATGGTGGCTTTTATAGTTGGACAAACACCAACTGGTTTGACCTCGTTTTGCCCTGGTGCACAATGTGTTTTAAATCCTGCTAAATTTAATTTGTGTATTTTGTTATGATAATATTAGTTAGTTGTGATGTTTTTTGATTTGGAATTATGTATTATATTCTATTTTAGTTTATTAGTTGTAAGCTGCCCTGAGTCCTTTTGGAGAGGGAGCAGAATATACGGTAAATAAAGTTGTTGTTGTTGTTGTTATTCCACGATGATCAATTTTCTGGGAGGAAGTAAATGCTTGTATATGTTCTAAGATCTTTAATTAATATTATTAGCTGCTTTGAGTTCATTTGAGTGACAAGTTTGTTAAAAATGCAGCAAGAAAAACTATAATTAACTCCCCCCCCCCCCCAATTCTGGAAACATAAACTGGTATCAGAACAATTCGGTGAAGTTGTTCGAAGAAATAAATGGATAACTATTCACTATGAAGCACTCAGGAGAGGGAGAACTGCAGGCTGGGAAGTTCTTATCAGCAAAGAATGTTGTTGAAAGACTTGCTTAGATTGTTGTTGTTGTTTAACAACATGGACCCATCATTTTAAACTGAACTTCTGGCAAATTACAGAAAAACATTGTTCCAGCAGTATCTTAATATGGATCAACCCAGATGTTAAAAAGCTGTACTATAAATTCCCCATCGAAATACAGTGTTCCCTCGCTGTTTCATGGTTTGCTTCATGCAGACTTGCTGTTTCACAGGTTTTTTTTTAAAAAAGAATTTAAAATACAAGTAGCAAGGGAACACAGTATACCCATTATTAAAGTGTGTTGTTTCTCCAGCATAGATCCTGCCACAGACTTGAAATGCAGAGTTACTCACAGACCAGAGTTACGGAGCGGAAGAATGGCTCTCACACTGCCCAGGGGTGGGGGGCAAGCCAGGAACCCCTTGGCAGTGCTTCCCAGAAGCCAGAAGTCGCCCTGGCTGGTGGAGGTAGCAGGCTGCGAGGGAAGCGTGTGTGTGGCTGGCGAAGAGCCCTGTCCGGCGCCAATGAGGGGTGTGGAGAGGGCTGCCAAGGCAGCTTCCACCAGGGCTTCTTCCTCAGGGTGACTGGGTGAGAGCCCCATGCCAGTGGGGAAGCAGGGAGGGAGGGAGAAGGGTGGCTCCAGCAAGAGGAGGGGGGAAGGAGGGAGTAAGGGAGGGGAAAAAAGGAGAGGAAAGAGGGATTGATTGAGTGCATGAGAGAGAGGGAGGGGAGGGGGAGAGAAGAGTGGGCGGAGGTATACTGTACATATACAGTATAGCTCCCTACATCCCGGTTTTTCACTTATCGCGGGTGATCCTGGAACATAACCCCCACAATAAGTAAGGAAACACTGTATTGCTGAATTAGCAGTTGAGGCAAATATTCAACCTCTGTTTGATACTTCATTATTAGCTGCTATAATTTCCAACACTTCATCAGTCTTTCAAAACTATTAAACATTACAACAACGTTGAACTTTGAGACAAGATAAAATATGTAGCTGACTAAGGGCAAAATACTCTATTGTCTGGAATTCCCCAGTTTTCTGAATGTTCCTCTTTATTTACTGTCCTGATTTTAGAGTTTTTAAAATACGAGTAGCCAGATTCTGTTCATTATCTTGGTTTCCTCCTTTATGTTGAAATTGTCCACCTGCTTGTGGATTTCAATGGTTTATCTATCTACCAGTATTAAAAAACTGTAAAATCAGAACAATGCATAAAGAGGAACACTCCAAAAACAGGGTAATTTCTGACAGGAAATAATCAGTACCAGTTAACACCTCTCAACAAATTATTCTCCAGGCAGGAAGAAGCCAGGCTTTGAAGCTGCAAGGCCATTCAAGACTAATCAAGGTGTCCGATTGTAACATTCACACTTGCCTCAAGCAAAGGTTCTTTCTTCCACCCTGGACATTCCACAGATATAGATATACCCACTTGCCTAGTTTCCAAAAAACATCACATTCTCTGCCTGCCATAAATGTAGGTAAAGTGTCAGGAGAGAATGCTTCTGGAACATGGCCATACAGCCCTGAAAACTCACAGCAACCCAGTGATTCCAGCCATGAAAGCTTTTGACAATCCCTTCAAATGTTGCTAAGATTTTTTTTTAAATCCTCCAGTAATTATTGCCTGAGGCTGCATCACTGCAGTGACAACAAATTCTATATCATTGTTTGCTGTTAAGTTTGATTTCTTAATGACAAAATGTGGCTCACTCAAACCTACAAACAAGACAATACTTCCGGACTTAAGGGAACTTTAAGCACTTAAACATGGTTTGAATTATTTAGCTCAGTATGTTTAGAGAAAGCAGCAGGAGCATCTCAATCAGGCATCTTTGAGGAAGTGTCTCAGATACGTATGCCCACTCACCCAGTTTCTGGGGTACCAGATTAAGCACTCGTGGCCTGCACTGCTCCTTCCATTTTGCGAGGTCTTCCAGCTCTTTATTAGCAACTGAAATGCAGTAAACAAGATAAAGAGTGAAAGCATTCGTGAAAATACTTCATTTCATGATGGGTACAAAGCTACAAGAAGAAAAACATGGTCCCAATACTGATCTCCAAAGGAGCAGGAAAGGTCTAAAGCACCATCAACAATAGGCCCTTCCATCTACATGCACCCACCTATTCTCCACTGTAATGTAGGCTAGCATGGCATTCATCCATGAAAATGGACATAGCACAGGATACAAGCAAAATAGTTTTAGACGTCTCATGCAAAGAAATAGTCCTTTCTTATGACAGCTGGCTTAACATGTTTGGACTTCATTTCTCCAGAAGAACATACTGGCTGGAATTCCATTGGTTTTCCTATTCAGGACACTTCTGAAGACAATACTATTGGGTCTCCATTCTGCTATTTACAAGGTTTGTGACTAGAAGTTTTTCTACTACATACTATCTTGACATTCAGACTATATTGAAAGTAATTGTTTAGAGGAATAGGGAATTCAATAAAGAGCAGCAAACACATTTACAGAGCCAAGTATCCCAATAGTAATTGCATTATCCTGTCCACACTCAAAAAGTACTTTCATTAACAAGAATGAAAACCCCTAACATTTTTTGTAATCAAAGCTTAGAAAAATTGGTATAAAAACGCAACTCCTCTAGGGATGGTTTTTATTTTTGGCTTGGACTTTGCAGCATTGGCAGAAGACATTGAAACAGAAATGGGAATCCCATTGCTCATTGATTTAATTATATAACCCTATTTGTTCCCACGTTGTATCTGTTTTCACACAAAAATATTTGTTTTTGTTTACTTTAGTTTTATTTAGCCTTTCTCTTAATATAGGGACTCAAGGTGGCTAATTTTTTTAAAAAAACAACTGTGATTAAAAACAATGAGAGTACTATAATAAATATAAACATTAAAAACAATTAAATAATTTGTTACTGAAAGCACTGAATGTTAAAATGCATTACAATGTTATACACATCTTAATATCCCAATCACACTGTCTTAAAGCCCAATAGTCTTCATTTTATAATGAGAGGAATGTTTCTACCTGCCTACAAAACGGAAATGTAGGGACAGAACCATCCTGGCCTCTCCAGAGAGGGAGCATTCACTGAGTCCCCTTCTACACTGACATATAATCCAGATTATCAAAGCAGATAATCCACATTATCATCTTTGAACTGAATTATATGAGTCTACATGGCCACATAATCCAGATCAAAGAAGATAATCTGAATTTTATATGGCAATGTAGAAGGGGTCTGAGATGGGTTTCTCTTTTGTTCCTGAAGTATTACTTAAAAATACTTTGATGCACACTACTTACACTAGTGTGGGCAATAATAAAAGAAAGAAGACATTAAAGATATATAGACAAAGTGTGTGGACCCAAAACAGCCTATCATTATGTCTGGAAAAAGCAGACACATTAATGTAATATTCCAACAAGACTCCAACCAATGATCTGTAAAGCGAATTTTTCAATCAATTTTTATAATTCATTTATTTCAGGACGTAACGTATAGAATCACTTGTGCTTATTTCAAAGTAAACATGTTAATCACTCCGCTCATGATCCATTTCACTGTAATGGGAATCGTACAGGTATTATGAAACACAATAGACATATCTGACTTGCTAAATCAGCATTTTGGTGGAAATATCAAATGCAGAAGTGAGGTTCCACATACAGTCTGCAGAATATAGGAGCTAATTCTATGCAAAATTCAAATAGTAGACCAATGCTAAGCCATATACTTACTTTTCTGTAACTGATCCCTCTTTGTTGGATTTGGGGCTATCATAACATATGCATCTGAACTATAGAGAGAAAAAAGGGGGAGATGAATTAATTGCTTGTATGGTTTAAAATAGTATGCCATTTAAAAGATATAGGACTTTACAAATATAGAGGTTTCGGTAGCACCTCCAAAGAATGTGTTCATCAAGATTTTAGAGCAGTGCGGTGCTCTAAATATTGTCAGAGTGCAACTCGCATCATTCCTAGCCAATGTAGCCAATGGTGAGCAATACTGAAGGGCTGCATGATTCCCATTTCTGCTTTAGGCGCTAATTTAACTTTTCTGAATGTGTTTTTTTAAAGCATCTAGTATGATATTTCCAGTAGCTGCATGGAATACATCAAGAATAACTGATGTAGTTGTAAAGACAACTCTTCAACAAGAAATGAAAAGATACTGATATGATGGACAGCCAGTCTAAGGAGGTCATCCAATTGAAATTGAGGGAGAAAATAGGGTACTGGCTATCCTAGACAGGGCCCTTCCACACAGACATGTAACCCAGAATATCAAGGCAAATAATCCACAATATCTGCTTTGAACTGGAATATCTGAGTCCACACTGCCCAATAATCCAGTTCAATCTGTTTATAGTTGCATGGAAGGGCCCTCAGCTTCAGGCAAGTGACCAGAAAATGTGTTGCTGTGAGTTTCAAAATTAAACAGGGCTGGGTTGTTGTAGGTTTTTCAGGCTATATGGCCATATTCTAGAAGCATTCTCTCCTGACGTTTTGCCTGCATCTATGGCAACCATCCTCAGAGGTTGTGAGGTCTGTTGGAACTAGGAAAATTGGGTTTATATTGCGATATATATAAACCCAATTTTCTAGGTCCAACAGACCTCACAACCTCCGAGGATGCTTGCCATAGATGCAGGCGAATGCTTCTAGAACATGGCCATATAGCCCGAAAAACCTACAACAACCCAGTGATTCTAGCCATGAAAGCCTTCGACAATACATTAAACAGGGCTGTTGACAACATGGTGCCTTGGAGAGCTGTCGCTCACAAGATCATAAAGTTGAAGCCGACTTGAAGGCTATAACCAAGAGCAACCAACACCTTTAGTACAAACACATCCCATCTTAGTTCAGGAGTTATTGTAAACAACTCTTATTATCATTGGCCACTGGCCATGCTGATTAGGATAGCCAGAAGGCGGGCTACACATTCTACTACCTCCCCGCATTTGCATTAGGATAGGCTTTGTATTGGGATGCAAGTGCCATCCTCTTATCAATCACACCCTGGGCTTTCTCCATGGCTTTATACTTAACTGCTTTATGCCACAAGTTGATCACTGTATATTGATACATAATTATGCCACACAGTTACAGTACTCAATATGAGGAGCCAAAGATATATGAAATGGTCCTTCCAGCTTATTCTTCCCTTTACTTAAACTTACAACTGGTACTTTAGATTAACAGGAACTGAGCACGGCTTTGCCATCTCCAGCAGCCTTAAATGGAGTTATATCTCCTGACAAAAGCCATATATGTTAAGGGGAGGGGAATAGAAGTGGTTAAAGTACCAGTGCAAATACTTCTGCAGCAGGAAATGATGTACTTTTATTTCCCAGAACAAAACTAAGATGATAATCATCTGTCTCCTGCTACCTGGACTTGGAGCTCTCTCTCTCGCAGAATGGGTACATTCTCATTATATTTTCATGGCAGCCAAGTTAAAGATAAAGGCTCGTGTAGTTTTGGGTAATAGAAAAAGATAGGTTCTAGTTTTCTGAGATACTAGAAAGCTATGGAATTCACAAGAATTGTCAGCACATTGGGTAAAGGCCATAAATCTTATTTTATTATGCATACAGGGTATTCTAGACATAGACAGAACTCTATTTAACACAATAGCCTTTTTGCAAAATCTACCAAAACAAGGAGCAAACACATCTAACCCTTTGCAGAATCACAACAAGGCTATAACACTACCTTCTATGGTAAATATTGTTACACTTGTTTTCACTGTTAAAAGCACCACCAAAAAATAGAATTAACGAGAGTCAAGACTATATTTTGAGGCTACCACCCAAGCCGTAGGGACATTCTCCCTGTGACAGAGGAGAGCTGCTAAACACAAAGGATGGTCCAGAGCAGTGCTTCTCAACCTGTGTTTTGGTCTACAACTCCCAGAAATCTTAGCCAATTTACCAGCTGTTAGTTGTTCTGTCTTCCAGGAGCATAGTTGCATGGGATAGTATTCCTTTGCATTTCCCCAGGGTTGCTACAGACCCAGCAGCACCTTGGAAGTTAAACAGTATCAGAGTCTGTAAAGCCAGACTGCAGGCCCTCTGCAGTTATTGGTTTAGAAAAGTATCTTTTTGGGTCTAGGGACCGCCTTTTTTCCTGGGTTGAGATCTCCATTTTGGAATCTCCCCTGCCTTCTTCAGTAGAGAAAGAAAGCTTCAGATGTGCTGTTGGTCAGGCAGGTAGCTCTGAAAAAATAATTGTAAGTACGACTGAGTTATATAGATAAAGAAGCTAATTGAGATAGATTGATAGATAGACTAGCAATTGAGTAATTGAGCAATTGAGTTATAGAAAAGTTATTGAATATTATTGAGCATTACTTCATCTCCAAAGATAACCTTGAGCTATAGATAGGGGAAAACCTGTTTTTTCTAACCATACCAGCTCAGGGTTAGGGTGAAAGGATCCCAGGATATTTTCTACCATTTGGGGAAGTTACCTCAGTAACTGAAGGGAAAAGAAAGAAAGATCATCTCTATGGTTTACCAAATTGACTGTTTGTGTTGTAACTTCTTCAAGCTGTGCCAAGTCTGCCAAGGACTTTGAAAATAAATATTCTGTTTGATGTTCCAAACCTGAAGTGGCCTCAGTTGCTGAGAAATTTTGAGCTTCTAAAGAAAGACTCCCGCGGTCCACCCAGACAAAGAGAGAAGCACATCTTAGTTTAAATTTTATAGGGTTTGGGTGTGAAGGCACATTAGGATTTCTGGCAGTTGAAGGCCAAAATATTTGGGGACCCACAGCTTGAGAACCACTGGTCCAGAGGATGTAGAAGAAGAAAAAGAGATGAAAGGGTACTTGGCGGGGAAGAGGGGGCCCAAACAAGGGAAGGAGTCAGGGCCCCTCTCAGAAGGAATCAGGAAGATATTGGAAGGAAAAACACACCCAGGAAAGGAAAAGACCAGGCTGAAAGAGGAAGTCTCAATCCACAGACAAATCCTTATGCACCACCATTATTATTATTATTAACTTTATTTATACCCCACAAAATCTCCCGAAGGACTCGATGCAGCTTACAAAGGCCAAGGCTGCCAACAAACAACAGTATACAAATACAACAATAAAACTCATAAGCAAATAATAAAACATCAAGCAAACAATAAAACAATGACACCATTACGCATTTAAAACCTAAAGGCCGGGCCAAATGTAGTGAACAAATTAGAAAGTGCTGGTCTTGACAGGTGAACATGTAGAGGTTTTTGGAGGTAAGTGCAATGTGCAAACAATCCTGAATCTCTAACAAAGTGCATTTGGGACATAATGCCAGGGAGTTTCCTATTCTGGAAAGGCACACTGGAACAGCCAGATCTTCAGGCTCTTCCTAAAGATTGTCAACGTTGGGGCTTGTCTGATGTCCTTGGGGAGATAGTTCCAGAGTCGGGGAGCCACCACAGAGAAGGCCCTGTCCCTCGTCCCCACCAAATGTGCTTGCGATGCAGGTGGGATCGTGAGCAGGGCCTCTCCAGATGATCGAAGGGAACGTGTGGGTTCATATAAGGAGATGCAGTCACGCAGGTAGGCGGGTCCCAAATTGTTTAGGGCTTTGTAGGTAAGCACCTGCACCTTGAATTGAGACCGGAAGATGAACACCATCAAATTACCGAGGGGACCAGGGTCACACAAACTTTCTCAGGCCATCACCACCCCCAGCTCCTTCAAGGTCAAGCCAGTCATTTCAAGGATATTGTCCATCCATCTTGCCCTTGGTCGGCCCCTCTTCCTTTTCCCTTCCATTCCCCCCAACATAATGATCTTCTCTATGCTTTCCTTTCTTCTCATGATGTGGCCAAAGTACTTCATTTTCCTGTCTTCTCATTATGTGGTCATAATATAAATTATCATATACACCGCCCAACTTTGGTGGGAAAACAAAAAGGGTTCTGCGTGGAAAGGTTTCAGCAGCACCTAGGCTTCATTGGCAGTCTCCCATCCATATAAGAACCTGGTAGCTTCCAAAACCAGACAGGCTGCCTTGAAAGGTATGAGGCTTCCACTGCTAAACTGTGATCCTTTCTGATACTTCCCACCTACTTGACAAAACTGAAACAGATTCCCAAGGCAATCCCCTTGTTGTCTTCCCCGCTTGGGAGACTGACTTACTGCTGCTCCGGGCGCTGTTGCTCCTGCTGCTGCCAGTCCTCTTGCCCTGCTGCTCCGGGATCCCTGGCGTCTAGACGCCCGCCCCGTGGCGAAAACGCATCGCAGGCTCCACAGCCTCGGGCTCCATTTCTTGGGCAACTCATCGCTCTCAGTCGCGGGGGAATGGCTCTGTCCGTCTTCACAAACGAAACGAAACCGAACTCTGGAGTTTCCCTTCTCTTGTGGGATGCTCCCTTTCCAAAGGGCCGGGTGTTGCAGAAAGCAAGCAAGCAAGCAAGCAACAACTTCCTTCTTTCCCTTTCCTCGTCCCTCTAGCCATGATCGCTCTCTGAACTTTCCCTCACCTTTATTCTCTTCACCTGCACCATTTCCACAGCTGGAGCCATGCAAGTGACTCTCAGAGAAGTTAGGTGTGCAAACCGCCATAAGAGGAAACCTAGCAGCCTTTTAAAAGCACTGCCCAACAGTTGAGGGCATGGCTGCCCAGGCTGTCCTTCCTGAGGCCTCTTCTACACAGCCATATCCAATCCAGATGCTCTGCTTTGAACTGGGTTATATGGTAGTGTAGACTCGATCCAGTTCAAGGAAGATAATGTGGATTATCTGATTTGATAATCTAGATCAGGGGCCCTCACACTTTTCAAACAGAGGGCTAGGTCACAGTCCCTCAAACTGTTGGTCTGGATTATAATTTGAAAAAAATATGAATAAATTCCTATGAATACTGCACATCTTATTTGCAGTGCAAAAAACACTTACAACAATACAATAATTAAAATATAAACAACAAATATAAATTTATTAGTATTTCAATGGGAAGTGTGGGCCAGCTTTTGGCTGATGAGAAAGGATTGTTGTTAGAATCATAGAGTTGGAAAAGATGTCATGGGTCATGCAGTCCAACCCCCTGCCAAGAAGCAGGAAAATCGCATTCAAAGCACCGCCAACAGATGGCCATCCAGCCTCTGTTTAAAAGTTTCCAAAGAAGAAGCCTCCACCACACTCCAAGGCAGAGAGTTCCACTGCTGAACAGCTCTTACAGTCAGGAAGTTCTTCCTCATGTTCAGATGGAATCCCCTTTCATGTAGTTTGAAGCCATTGTTCCACGTCCTAGTCTCCAGGGCAGCAGAAAACTAGTTCGCTCCCTTCTCCCTATGACTTCCTCACACATATTTATACATGGCTATCATGTCTCCTCTCAGCCTTCTCTTCTTCAGGCTAAACATGCCCAGCTCTTTAAGCCACTCCTCATAGGGCTTGTTCTCCAGAACCTTAATCATTTTAGTTGTGTGTGTGGACGAGGGGGGGGGGGGGCTGATAATATAAATGCATCAGAAACAAACAGGTACCAGTAGCTTGCGAAATGGGACAAGGAGCAAAACCAAGAGGAGACAAACGGTTTTAAATCACCCTTTTTCCTGTGATTCAAGAACTTGCCTGACAGCATTGTCTCCACAGATACATTTCTGAATATGTAGGACAAAAGGTATGGGTTTGCTGATTTAATAATTTTTGCTTTTTTCCATGGTAATAACAAGCGTGCTGATTTCCCTGGCGTGGCAGTTGCTTATTTTTTTTTCTTGATTGTCTACAGATGGCAGGCTCTAACTACCTTGTTTTCTAACTGAATAGTGATATGAACCCATAGAGAGAACGGCCTTCTTTTCCATCTAATTCTGATTGCATCGCCTCCAGGATTTACATTGCCACAGGCATGACCTGAAGAACCTCCAGAAACAATTTGCAAAACAAGTTTGAACTCAATTAACTAAGTAGGGGGCTGGCAAGTTGAAATTTCCCTTCCAAATGGGTTCTGGGGGGAAAAACCCACAATGGCTTATTTGGTATAGATTTTCCAAATCTTAAGGAATAAAGAGTAATTATTGTCAGAGGCTTTCATGGCCAGCCATGAAATCACTGGTATGCTGTGAGTATTCCAGCCTGTATGGCCATGTTCCAGAAGCATTCTCTACTGACATTTCGCCTACATCTATGGCAGGCATCCTCAGAGGTTGAGGGTTCTGTTGGAAACTAGGCAAGTGGGGTTTATATATCTGTGGAATGTCCAAGGTGGGAGAAAGAACTCTGGTCTGTTTGAGGCAGGTGGCCAATTGCAACATTCACACTTGCCTCAAATAGAAACGAGTTCTTTCTCCCACCCTGGACCTTCCACAGATAAATAAACCCCGCTTGCCTAGTTTCCACCAGACCTCACAACCTCTGAGGATGCCTGCCATAGATGCAGGTGAAGCATCAGGAGGGAGTGCTTCTGGAACATGGCTATACAGCCCAGAAAACTCACATCAACCCACTAAAGAGTAATTGTTGAAAATATATTGCCAATAGGCACAATTAAAGGGCTTAAAGTGAGGACTTAGGTTGTATTTAAAGAGACCACACTGGGGATACTTTTATCCTTCCTCTTGAAGAGACCTCCAATTTGTATTCTAAGATAAAGCATCTAATAAGCACTACAATACTGTATATTTTGGCAAGTGTTGTGATTTTGGGTGTGTGTGTGTTTTTTAAATACTCATCTTGAAATCTGTGTCTTGCTTTAAATCTGCTTGATTTTTCAATCTCATTGTCACTTACTGTCCTAATTGACATCCTGTTCAAATGTGTATGTTAAATAAACATACTTAACTAAACTGTATTGTATTTACTTGTGTCAACCAGTAAACTGACAGCTAGATTTATATATAAAGTTGTGCATTTCAAAACAAGGATTGCATGCAGAACTGGGGTGTCATAGGAAGAATACCCAGACAAAAACAATTTTGAAGCAGGAACAGGCTGTTAAGTTTGAACTTTCATTTTTTAACCCACTCCACGTGGTAAAAATGAAATTTTCAATTTGTTATTCTTGTTGAGTTCCCAGCTGGCATTTAACTGTGTTATTATGTTTGGCTTTGATTTTTTTTTAAAATGCCTTTCATTATGGTTTTTAGTTGTATTTGTTAAAATCCAATTCTTACAGGGACAGAAAGTGAGATGAAATCTTCTGAACAGGGGCACAGACAGCAAAACAAACACCATGGTATGTATGTCCTTCCTAAATGTTATCAAAGCATCTATCTATCTATCTATCTATCTATCTATCTATCTATCTATCTACTTACCTACCTACCTACCTACCTACCCACCTATCCACATAATAAAAGTGAAAATTATGTATCTGTGTGGCTGGGGTGTCCACTTATACAGATAAGCTCTTGCCTCCACAAGCAGCTATAGCTTCCATTACTCAGGAGACACCAATGACTTTCCGTCCAATGATATTTCAGGTTATAGAGAGCATAGTAAACATGTACAAGAGCCTTGCCAATGTCCTCCACAGACATCATACATCATACTTCCCACCACCCAAATGAAGGCTTTCATATGGGGACAATTCCATCCTAGATTTTATGTTTCTTCCACCACAGACATCCCAGTGTTTCTTACTCTCTCCACTGGTGTGGGATTTGCATGACTCTACCCACTGGCTCTTCCTTAACCCTTTCCAATTCTTTTCTATGGCACACAGCAAACAGAGGCATTGATCAGCAACTGAGCTTACTAGAGAGGTTTGGGGAGAATTCACCATGATTGATAGGAGTTGTAGGTACTGGGATGTATAGTTCACCTGCAATCTAAGATCACTCTGAACTCCACCAATGATGGACCTGGAACTAACTTGGCACACAGAACTTCTATGACCAACAAAAAATACTGGATGTCTTTGGAGGGATCTATAGGAGTTGTAGTTCACCTATATCCAGAGAGCACTGTGAACCCAACCCCTGATGGATCTGGCACACATACCTGATATGTTAAAATGTGATTACTGGAGGGGTTTGGGGGGTACTGACCTTCCTTTCTGGGAGTTGTAGTTCATGCAACCTGAGCAATGCAACCTGAACCCTGCTACTAGAGATCAGAACCGCCACTTCTATCCTGACATTCAGGAAACAGGTAAAGACGTGGTTATGGAGACAAGCATTCGACGAGTGAGCCAACACCCTGAGATATGGATGGAGGATGATGAACAACGATTTTAGTGTGACGAATGACCATTGTAGTTATTGAATGTAATTGCTGTTTTAATGTTTTATTGTAATATGAATTATGATGTTTTATTGACTGTATGTGATATTATGGTTGGAAACCAGTCTGAGTCCCTCAAGAGAGGTGAGAAGGTCGGTATATAAAACTTTTAAATAAATAAATAAATAAATAAATACATGCACAATGGAGGACCTTCTTAGAGTAACACCAGAGGCACTCCAAGTGGCCAGCTACTGGTAAAAGGACATTTAATCAACTACCAAGCTTGCAAACTTTGTGTTTTGTTTGTTTGTTAAAATGCAATACAACTGTTTGGCTTGCTCCTGACACGATAAATAAATAACTTCACCCACAACCAGAGAAACTGTGACCTTCACCAATGATGGACCTGGACCAAATTTGGCACACAGAACCTCCATGGCTAACTCTTTGGAGGCTATTAAGCAGAGGCTGGATGGCCATCTGTCAGGGGTGCTTTGAATCCAATTTTCCTGCTTCTTGGCAGGGGGTTGGACTGGATGACCCACGAGGTCTCTTCCAACTCTATGATTCTCTCCACTGGAGGGGTTTGAGGGGACTGACTCACAATAGTGGGAGTTGTACTTTGCCCTACAGGCACACTGAACCCCACTGATGACGCATCTAGAGCAAACTTGCCCAACATGACAAACTTTAAGTACTGATGGAGTTTTTTTGGGTTAACCTGGCATGATGTGAGTTGTAGTTCACCCACAACTTTATGCATTTTGTACAATTAAAAATTGACTTTTTCAAATAACCCTGGCAACGCTGGGTACCTAAGCTTGCGTGTGTGTGTGTGTGTGTGTGTATGCATGCATTCTTGTGGAGTTACACTTACAAAATTCAGCTTACATACAAATTCATCTTTAGAACAAACCTACAGAACCTATCTTGTATGTAACTTGGGGATTGCCAGTACAGATATATGGTAACAAAACAAGTATGTCAGGTGAAAGATATGTGGTTTATCTGCTTAACTAAAGTGTTTAACTGATGTATGGACTTTCAAAGATTGGAGAGCATTCGATGGTTAGATCTAGTGTCTAAAATTACTTAGCTGCTATGTAATTTTCTCCAAAGTACAACACATAGTTTATATGATACAGTGGACAGA